TCCCAGGAGACTCTCCCCAGTCTGGCCTTCAGTTGGCCAAAGTTGGCCCTTTGACAGGCCTTCTAAGCTAAAGTTACCTTGAACAGACTGGCCAAGTTAAGTAAACAAAAAGGTTACATGGGTGATCTTACAGGGTTAGGGAGGCACTTCAGCAAGCCTATGAAACACAGAGATTACACTTTGACAGTTACCCACCAATGGAGTGGGGTCATCTGGTCTTCACCACCAGACACCGAGGCCTCTTTTGATGTGTTTATGGCAAGGCAGTGAGGTGGGACGGTAAGAATTGTTTTTCTGAGTACACCAAGGATGAGGTTCAAGGCAAAGCCTGGGCTAACTAAATGCCTTGGCCTGCTCCCCTGGAGCCGGAGAAAGCAAATCCCCATGCCTGGCTCATCCTTACTTTCCAGCAGTGGCACATAAAGGCCATGTTTCTCCTGCTCTTCTTGTGCCTGCCCAGCTCCTGCCCTCCCTCCCTCCCTCCATCCGCACTCCCCGAGCCGCCGTCCTGCCCCTGGAGGTGTTCTTGAGGCATCTGGACAGCCACCTGTCACGAATGGTTTCGCTGGAGCCCTGCCTGGAGCCTCCCAGGACCCCTGCGACTCCACTCCTCTGTGATTCCAGGGCAGCCCTGCAAGGGAGTATGAAAGGGGAGAAGGGCTGGAATGCCCTGGAGGGCCATCAGGTCCAGCCCCCTTGCTCAGTGCAGGCCCTAAGTCAAACTGCCCCTCTCAGATGGCTGTCCAGTTGCATCCTGAATGCCTCCAGTGTGGCAGAGCCCACAGACTCCCAGGTAACTGGTCTCTTGCCGTACTGCTCCTACAGTCAGGAAATTGTTCTTGAGACCTATCTGGAAGCAGGTTTCATGTAACTTGAGCCCTTCAATCAATGTTAATGTCCGGGGATGTTCAGGAAGGTACCCTGGCTCTCTTCCGAGGGGCAGCTGTTCAAGCACTTGCAGAGCGCCCTCATATCCCCACTCTCTGGAGAAGTCTCTTCTCCAGGCTAAGCATGCCTAGTTCTAGAGGAGGCCTAAACTTCTCTTTCTGCTGTTCACATCCAGCGCTGCAACCTCTCAAGTTCCCTGGAATCTTCTTTCTGTCTCCCAGGGCATGAGCTGCCCCACCCTGCAAATAAATTGTTCCCTAGATCCTCATCCAAATTCCAAATAAATACATAAAAAATCCAAGTCCTTAATAAAGGATGGCTTGTGAGAGAGCCTCTTTCTTTTGCCCTCTTGGAATCACCCTGAAGAGACCCCATCTCAAAGATCTGCCCTTCTATGGAGTTATCTCAGTGGTGGAGCACAGGTCTTGGAGGGCCCCTCGGGGTCTTCTGCCTTCTGTTAGCTGATCTTCTAGCTCCTTGACCAGCAGGCAGGCCTGCAGTTCGGCCTCTTGGCATGGAAGGTGGACACAGGGCAGGCACGGGGAGCTGCTGCAGAAGAGCAGTGCGTGGCCTGGATCTTTCTTTGGAATGGTCCTTACAATTCTTAACCTGAGTGTCTGCTTCATATGCGGTTTCTCTTTGTATTTGATAAAAGTTGCCTAAGATGTGTTTTGATCTCAACCCATTTTTTCAGTGCAGCACCCTGGAAAATTAGTTTTCCCCTCCTACTGGAAATGTTTCTTTGCCTGGCTGCCTAGTTCATTGAAGTTCAATGTATCTGATGTCTTCTCTTCAAGGCAGTCCTTGAGAAAGAGATTTTGGCTGGGCGTACAAAGTGAACAGGGGAGAATATTGGAGAGGTAGAAATGGAAGATGCTACCTTTTCCTTGAGCTTTAATGAATTCAGCTGTTTCAGCCTTTAACTCGTACCAAGGTATTCATTTTCTCTTTCCTCTCAAGCAGATGAATCGCAAGGCAGTGAGTGGATCCCTGCATCATGTCACCGGGGACATGTGAGGATGAAGTGAGGAAAGAGGCATCTCCAAATTAAACTCCAAATTAATGAAAAGCACAAAAAGAACAGAAGTGAATAATTCTGTATTTCTCTGAGTGTTGAAGACCATACGCCTTCTATCCAGAAGGTAAGAAACAAGGAACGTGGAACGGTTGGAAAAAACCAATAGATGAAGATTTTTTTTTCAAAATTGGTGAAAAAAATTTCAAAACGGATGAAAAATTTGGATGAAAAAATAAATCCAAATTATAGAAATGGCAAAGACTGAATGAATATGCAGAATGTTGAAAGGGCATCCCTGCAGGCATGAGAAAAGTCACCTTCAAAGAAGTCACAGTGCACCGAATCCAGATGAACATGAGTCTTGTGGAAGGAGCCTCAGGGAGGGAGACATCTTAGTGAACAAGAGTGATCCGAAAACTGAGGAAGCCATATGGAATGCTGGAGTGTAGGCAGAGCTTAGGTGCTGGTGGAAGGCTTACAAAAGAGGGAAGAGTCCAGGTTAGAGAGGAGCTATGTAATTTCATGGGATATGGTAAGAGCTTCAGTGATCCAGAAAATCCTTCTGGACATCAAAAAATGCATGAAGGGGACATCCCAAATAAAGGCATGGAATACAGAAAGAGATTCAGTCAGAGGGGACATCTGACAAGGCAGCGAAGAACACACACTGGGGAGAAGCCCTATACATGTGTAGAATGTGGAAAGAGCTTCAGTCAGAATTGGAATCTTACTCAGCATCGAAGAACCCACACTGGGGAGAAGCCATACATATGCATGGAATGTGGAAAGAGCTTCAGTTACAGCGAAAGTCTTAGAGGCCATCAAAGAACCCACACTGGGGAGAAGCCATACACTTGCATGGAATGCGGAAAGAGCTTCAGTCAGGATCAGAATCTTACTCGGCATCAAAGAACCCACACTGGGGAGAAGCCATTCACATGCATGGAATGTGGAAAGAGCTTCAGTTACAGCGCAGGTCTTAGGGGCCATCAAAGAACGCACACTGGAGAGAAGCCATACACATGTATGGAATGTGGGGAGAGTTTCACTGTGAATGGAAGTCTTATTCAGCATCAAAGAACCCACACTGGGGAAAAGCCATACAAATGCATGGAATGTGGAAAGTGCTTCAATCAGAGTGGAAATCTTACTCAGCATCAAAGAACCCACACTGGGGAGAAGCCATACACATGCATGGAATGTGGAAAGAGCTTCAGTGATGGTGGAAGTCTTAAAATACATAAAAGAATCCACACTGGGGAGAAGCCATACACATGCATTGAATGTGGAAAGAGTTTCACTCGGAAGGGAACTCTTACTCCGCATCAAAGAACCCATACTAGGGAGAGGCCATACACCTGCATGGAATGCGGAAAGTGCTTCAATCAGAAGGGAACTCTTACTCAGCATCAAAGAACCCACACTGGGGGAAAGCCATACAAATGCATGGAATGTGGAAAGTGCTTCAATCAGAGTGGAAATCTTATTCAGCATCAAAGAACCCACACTGGGGAGAGGCCATACACATGCATGGAATGTGGAAAGTGCTTCACTGTGAATGGAAGTCTTACTCAGCATCAAAGAACCCACACTGGGGAGAAGCCATACAGATGCATGGAATGTGGAAAGAACTTCAGTCAGGCAGGAAACTTTAATGAACATCAAAGAACCCACACTGGGGAGAGGCCATACAGATGCATGGAATGTGGAAAATGCTTCAATCAGAGTGGAAATCTTACTCAGCATCAAAGAACACACACTGGGGAGAAGCCATACACATGCATGGAATGTGGAAAGAGCTTCAGTGACAGTGGAACTCTTACAGTCCACCAAAGAACACACACTGGGGAAAAGCCATACAGATGCATGGAATGTGGAAAGAGCTTCAGTCAGGCAGGAAAATTTAATGAACATCAAAGAACCCACACTGGGGAGAGGCCATACAGATGCATGGAATGTGGAAAATGCTTCAATCAGAGTACACATCTTTCTCAGCATCAACGAATTCACACTGGGGAGAAGCCATACACATGCATGGAATGTGGAAAGCGCTTTAGTTACAGCGGGAGTCTCATTCAGCATCAAAGAACCCACACTGGAGAAAAGCCATTCAAATGCACGGAATGTGGCAAGTGCTTCAGTCATAGTGGAAATCTTACTCAGCATCAAAGAACCCACACTGGGGAGAAGCCATACACATGCATGGAATGTGGAAAGAGCTTCAGAAATGGTGGAAGTCTTAAAAAACATAAAAGAATCCACACTGGACAGAAGCTATACACATCCATGGAATGTGGAAAGAACTTCAGTCAGAGTCAACAGTTAGGTATCCATCTGAGAATTCATCTTCGGAGCCATCATGGAACACAAAATGGGGAGGTATCTTGAGGATAGAAACTGTGATGAGAATTCCAGTCCTTTGCCCCTTCACTGTGATAAAGGCCAATTCCATTCCAGTCATAGTTAGGAGT